AAGGTTCTCGCAAATGCCACCTATACTTCCCGCTCGATGCCTCAGCAAGAGGGGATATCCTGGAGCCCGGACATCCAGGAATTTTTTGCAGTGTCGTGCCGGGGGCCTGATGATCAAGAAGGCTCCCGCAGAAGCCTCTGACCTGGCTGCATTGTCCAGGAAGCATGAAGCCGGAGCCAGGGCTATCATACCGGCTGGACACAATATCGACGAGTGAGGTAACACTGCAAGTCGAGCACCTGGTTTCTGAATCCAGCAAAGGGGTGCTCGCAGAGGACCTACCTTAGAAAGGACAGAAACACACCAGTCCCGGAAGACGCTGCAAAGAAATCTCACAGAAGGATTATACACACATAACCACCAGCACATGAAATACATACATATATATATATATAAAATGGATCATACTCACCCACCATGGTTCCCGCGCCGGAAAGCCGCTCAAAAGGCGATTCCAGAGAAGCCTCTAGTGAGGACCATCAGTAAGGTGGTTGCTATGAAGTCATAGAACCAACCAAAACATCATAGGTCCAGCATAGGAGACTGTAATGCCTACCTAACCTACCTAACCTCGGTCAGGTGGAGTGCTGGTGGTTATAGGGGAATTAGGAAGGGGAAGAAAGTAAAACCCCTGCCTTGTCTGGATCACATCCTTAGGTCTTGCCTACCTCCCTTTGACCCGCGATTCCTTCTAACCCTACCCGCAGGCGGGGGAGGAGTGCGAGCTGCGACACTAGCCTTCTGTGCCCGTCTCTGATCCTCAGACTGAGACGGACCAGGACCCCTATGTTGTTTGGGCTCAGACCTGGACCTTCGTGGAATGAAGGAGTCGCTGAGCGCTGAGCGCGCCTTTGCCTCCCTGAACTTCTCGACCACCGCCTAAAAGGAGGTACCAAATAAGGCGAACAGGCGAAACCGGCGCAACGGGAAGAAAGCCCCTCTCTTTTTCCCGATATCTGCTAGGTTCACCCACAGATGTCCCTCCGTCACTACCATAGCCGCCATGGACCTGCCACTAGCAGAGGCGGCCTGCTTAGTAGCACGGAGAGTGAGATGCCTTTATCCAGGTCTTTCAGCAGGTCAGCCTGATATGCTTGGAGCATCACCATCGTGTGCAATGAAGCGCCAGCCCGACCTGCTGCGGCTGCGTATGCCCTGACATTCGAGCGAGATGTCAAGGAGGGAGTCTTCAGAGAGGACGTCTCACCCATAGAGAGATAGCTGGCCAGCGTCTTCATCATCAGCATCTTCTCATAACCGCTTTCGCGCATCGTCTCGATGTTGGCGCCGACGATCGCGAGAGGGAAAACCCCTCTTCAAACTCATCGGCCAGATCCACCTGCGATCCCCACAATCTCATTCTCCTCCGTGCCTCAGCAGCGGCAGGTCCTGAATCGCGGGAAGCAGATGGCTGGCCCGCTTTCCTTGAAAAGAGAGACAAATGAGAGCGGAGCTTTTTCCTTGGAAAAACGCTCGCAGTGCACGCCGATTGCCCCCTCGGAGACATCGCGTGCGTGCTCTTCGCCCAAACAAATAACGCATAGATTGTGTGTCATCAGATGTTAAAGAATGACAACACGGATGCACACGTCCTCTAAACGTTCTGCTAGTGCTCGCCATAATAATAGGATAGAGATCGCTCTTACCACGTTCAAATGCACACTTCAAACAAAACAGTCGAAGACGAAGAAGAGAATGACATGTTCTCCCGGCGCCTATTTATACTAATAGTCGCACCGGTAGTGACGTCATGGGCTGTCGCCGGCCAACGTATTGTTGGTGTTTTTTCAATGTATGCTTCAGACACTGGTCACGACGAGGCGTTCCCCATAGCGACCCCTAGAGGACGCAGTTCGAAGTTCCCTTGAAAGGGAACTACTCCACGCATTCAGAGACACACTGAACATGCAGACTTATTAGAGACATGCACTGACTGGTTGCTGTAACATTTATTTCTGTTGTGATTAATCCATATTGAGTAAAAATGTCCAGAGCTTATCATCATTATTAACATAAATTTTATCATAATCTCGATATTATATCATTTATTGCCGATGCTAATTTAGGCTATTTATAGAACGTGCTTGGCAGACGACTCAAGCCAAGTTCACACTACACGACTTTAAACGTCGGCAGACCGCTGTGCTGTTCAGACTACATGACTTGATTGTCTGTCTTTAAGTCGTTGTGGTGTTCACACTACGTGACTCTATGTAAATGATCCGCAACAGGGGGTCACACACTACACGAGCTGACAACAACTCTGTCACCCAACGACTCTACAAACCACATTTTGTCACAAAAACACACGCGAGAATTGGAACGGGAATGACGCAAAACAACACGTGAAACAGGAGTTGTTTATTTCAAAATGGATGTCGGGAAGAAATTAGCGCTGCAAACTGTTTGCTCGATGAAAAATTTTGCTCCAAACTTTTCTTTAAGCCATGTTGCTGTTGTTGTTTTTCTTCCGGTGACCTCAACCCATCCCTTGCTCTCTCATTGGCTGTAGCTCGTCACGACACCTGACACCACGTGATGTCGAGTCGGCCGACC